TTGGATGGTAATATATTTTCCTCAAAAAGCATTTTATTAAAAAACATCCAATTTAAATAAAAAAAATCAGATTTAAATTAAAAAAATCTGATTTTTTTTTATTTTTTTTTTAAAAATCATTAATTTTTATCCACCCTGGTACTGATGATAAAATCGGTGAAGATCTGCATTGCTGGCAGTCTATGAATTTAGGCTTGTTATCAGTATTGCAACATTGGGGTTTTTGTGATCCACCTTTATTGATTCCACTTTTGAATTTTCAGTTTAAAGTGTTAATTCACTTTTACAGAAAAAAAAGTAGTAAAGAACCTAACACCATGCACTCTCACCAACCCCCGCCCCCACTCTTATTACCTCCAGGGGCTGTTGCCGCAGAGCCGGTGCAGCGATCTAGGGATTTGAAATCCCACCTCTTCTTTTTGCAGAGCTTCTGGGACGGTTCACACTGATTGGTCAGTGAATCACTTTGATCCATCATAGAAGAGCTGCACAGAGAAGCACTGCACAGGTGTATTACATTTTACAACAAAAGTGTTCAGTGGCTTACAGTCCATTTCTTTCCAAAGCAGCCACAGCTGAATAGAAAGGTCTGTGCGCTGCCAGCAGTTGCAGTGGGATCTTGCTTAATGTGAGGAAGCAGTGGTCTCTCTGCAGAGGTCCAACACAATTCTTTATGAATCAGACCAATAGCTTCCAATCAGCAAAGCTCATATTCCTTGCTGATTAAAGGGAGCATTTGAGGATAGTGAAAAAATAGCACTGGACCCGTAAGGTTATTGGAATTGCTATTTTAACCTGTTGCCTCCCATGTAACACATATGTGTGGTGGCAAAAGGGTGGGCTTTGATGTCAGTACATCGCACTTATGCATCTCTGGGCAGCCTATGGTTCTGTACTGAGAGCGCGCTCGCTGTGCACTACTAGCAGAGAGACAGAACTGTCAGTCCTCATTAACAATAGATAGCCAGTGGGACCGGCTTGGGATCATGTGAACATTGTGGCAGCCAATCACAGTGGTCATATAGAGTGACGTTGATGTAAATAATCTGGTTCCTGGGCAGGTGGGTTCTACACTCCAGAATATCTCCATGGTCTCCTTGGCATGTAGCATAATGTAACAAAAATGGAAATTAAAAGCACCACACCACTGCTAAGGGGTCCAGGAATATCTATATTCCAATAATCTCCAAGTGGCCAATCCAAAGAATAACCAACATGTTTTTGGGGGGCCAAAAACACCCCCAAGGATCTCAATTATCTCCTTGGCATGTAGTATAATGTAACTGAATGGAACTGCGGCGCGATCTGTCACCGGCCGTGTACCTCGGACACGGCCGATGACAGATCTGAGTATCTGCCCCGTTTCTGGTACCATGTGACCTGCTGTGACCAATCACAGCAGGTTACATGACAGTTGTATACAATGGATGGCTTCATTCATGCCATCCATTGTATACTAGTGTCTAGCTGTGAATGGTCACAGCTAATCACATTCACATTTTTTTTTTTCATACTGTCACCAGTCAGTGTCCCTGATCACCGCCATGCCAGTTATATGATGACGCTGTACTGCACTGGTGACAGTATGTAAAAAAAAATAGTGAAACTAATTGTTTAAATTTTTTCATTTTCCGAAAAACTATGACAAAAAAAATATAACTTAAAAAAACTCACCATGCCTCTTATGAAATACGCCGGACTGTCTACTCTGCAAAAAGGGGTCATTTGGGGGATATCTGTACTATTCTGACTTTCTTGGACCTGAAGAAATTAGATTGGCTGTCAGTACTTCAGGACTGATCAATATTCAGATCTATCCCATAGTTTGTGAACTCTATAACTTTCCTACAAACTAAAAAATACATCCTAATTTGGGTTATTTTCACCAAAGAAATGTAGCAGAATACATCTCGGCCTAAATTTATGAAGAACAATTATTTATTTGCAAACTTTTATAACAGAAACAAAGAAAAACTTTTTTTTCAAAATGTTTGGTCTTTTTTTGTTAATTTAGCAAAAAAAAAACCCCCGCGGTGAATAAATACCACCAAAAGAAAGCTCTAGTTGTGTGAAGAAAATGCTAAAATTTTAGTTTGGGTACAATGTTGTATGACCGCGCAATTGTCATTCAAAGTGTGAGAGCGCTGAAACCTGAAAACTTGGCCTGGGCAGGAAGGTGTAAAATTGCCCGGTATTGAAATGGTTAAGGACCGGTCCATACTACATGCAGTCCAGTGCATTTTTTTTCTGCATCAAAAATGCATGGGTAGTAGGTTATATGGTTTCCAGTGGTATAGTTCATACCAGTGCAGTCAGTTCCAATGCGTTCCAGTCCCAGAAAAAAAAGTACAACCTGCTGCTTTTTCTTCTGCTCTGAACTGTACTGGAACGCGATAAAATGCATCAAAAATTCAATGGAACGCTCCAAAGTTGCATTGAAACCTATATGTCTTTATTTAGGGTGAAAAAAAAAGAGAAAGAATGCACTGGAACACAAAAAAATGCCTAAAAAACGTGCCTGCAGGAACACATGTGGAATGGATTCAGACTGTGTTTCTACGGTATGAACTGGCCCTGAAAGTCATTTTTAAACTTTTAGGCTTCACACAATATGGTCATAAAAAACGATGGAAAATAAGCAGAGAATTGTCTTACATAGGCTTGTTCACACCATGTGCAGAGACGTGCGTATTTATTACATCGGTCTTTGCAACAACATAAAGAAAACAATTGTTTTCCATGTGTCCCATTCACACCATAGCAGTGCTGTCCTGTGAGTTTTTTCTTCCTGTGCCGAAATATGTAACATAAATTCTCTACAAGGGCGCAATAAAAAAAATGTTTTCTGTGTGCCCTGTTCACACCACAATGTTGATGTCACATGAGCTCTCTTTTTCTACCCAGAAAACCACATGAATGTTGCAAATTTCAGTAAAAAAAAACGCACATGATACCAGTGTTGTGGTGTGAACAGGACTCATAGACAATTGACAATTGTTTGTTTAGTGGTGTGAACAAGGCCTGAAAATCTGCAGCTTTGATTGAAATAATATCCGATGATCCTGCCATGAAGATTCCTGTTCAGGCACTTCCTGGGATAGGATACCAATGCTGGCTCCTGTCCTCCTTTTCCTCTACTGTGTTGTCGCTCTGTCACATGCGCTTTCAGTAGAGATTATAAGTGGCCAGGCTGATGTTCATCCAGAGGCATGTTCTTCCATTGTCACCATTAGTAAGCCCACCCTGAATAATGACATGCAGCCACTGCTGGAGCACATGCATGTGGACAGGGAGTGCCCGCCCAGAAGCTGGAAGAGATCAGCAGCACAAAAGTTGAAATATAAGTACTTTTTACATATAAAACATGGTGCATGTTTATGATACACAGTGCTTTAGCAAGCTAGGAGGTGTATTTATAGAAAAAATGCAGCAAGTGAAAGTGCAACATAATACAGTATTACAATACAATACAATCAAAAATTTAAGTATCTATCCATCTTTTTTGTGTGTTTTTTTTCTATCTATCTTATTTATCTTATTCTGTCTATGAATCTGTCCATTTATCTATCTTTTTTTTATAGAAACCATAATCAGGGATGTTTAGTTCACATACATTGCAACATATGTTTAAGCCAGCCAACTGCGTCAAAGTAATCCCTCTCTGGCCAGTCCCTACTCTAACCTATATCTGTCTATCTTGTTTATTTAACCTATCAGCATGTCTTTGAAGTGTGGGAGGAAACCCACACAGGCACAGGGAGAACATGCACACTCTACACAAGTGGTGCTGTGGTTGGGATTAAGAACAACGACCCTAGTGCTGCCAGGCAGAGGTGCTAACCACTTAGCCATTGTGCTGCCCACCTATCTACCTCATCTATCCAATATCTATCTATCTATCTATCCATCTATCTATCTATCTATCTATCTATCTATCTATCTATCTATCTATCTATCTTATCTATCTTATCTATCTATCTATCTTATCTATCTATCTTATCTCTCTCTCTATCTATTTATCTATCATTCTATCTAAATTTGTTTCTTAATTTTATCTATTTATTTATCTATCCTATGCTTTAAAATGTATATGTTTTTAATCTATCTATCAATCTTTGTATCTATCCTATCTAATATCTATCCAATCATATCCAACCCTTGGCAATTAAAAAAAAAAAAATCATGGACTGTCACTTGTAAGCAATTTTTTCCATGAATTCTCTTAGCAGTTGTTTTGCAGGGTAGGTTGCCAGGTCTTTCCCCAACCCCTACCATGCAGGAGATCTTACATGGCCAGGGATGAAACTAGGACAATTAACCTACCAGCATGTATTTGGAGTGTGGGAGGAAACCGGAGTACCCGGAGGAAACCCACGTGAACACAGGGAGAACATGCAAACTCCATGCAGGAGGCGCCATGGTTGGGAATTGAACCCATGACCCAAATACTGCAAGGCTGAAGTGCTAAGCACTAAGCCACTGTGCCGCCCACCTATCTAATATATCTATTCTATATTTTTTGTCTATCTATCTATCTATCTATCTATCTATCTATCTATCTATTTTTTATTTCTTTTTTTATTTTATCTAGTTATATATCTTATCCTATTCTATCTATCTATCTATCTATCTATCTTATCCTATTCTATCTATCTATCTATCTATCTATCTATCTTATCCTATTCTATCTATCTATCTATCTATCTATCTATCTATCTATCAATACCAAAAATGTATTTCTCTCTCTCTCCCCTCCCTGTCTCTCTCTTCCCTCTCTCTCTTCCCTCCCTCTCTCTTCCCTCTCTCCCTCTTCCCTCTCTCTTCCCCACTCTCTCTCTTCACTCTATCTCTATCTATTTTTTCTTAATTTTATCTATCTTTCTATCCCAAGTTTTAAAATGTATATGTTTTTATTTGGTTTCTAATCTATCTATTATATATTTTTTTTGTCTATCTATCAATTGGTATCAAAAAAATTTTTTTTTTCTATCAATCTTATCCTATTTACCTATCTTAACTTTTTGTTTTACTATCCATTGAATGATGGCCCTCTGATATTTGTGCAGTAAATATGCCACTTGGGTTAAGGCCGTTGATGCCTTCATTCTGTAAACCATGTAGAAAAAATCCTTGAAAAAATTCTGATTTTCTTGGTCATTTGGCATCTCCTTGTCTTTTGACAGAAATTCATCTACTTCAATGGCTTCCTCCAGTGGCTCCTCAAGAATAGGTGCCAATTCGCGGGGCTGTTGTGCCGATCTTTCTAATTCAGCCCAGTCAATCTCCTTGAAGAAAGGGTGCTTTCTGAGATTGCTTACTAGGTACCCACGTTCTTCCTGGTCTCGCCATAGAAGTCTGTGTATGAGTTCATACGTGTCGAGGTCCATATCCTTGGGGAAATAAGGTCTCATTGTGTACATCATTTCTGCCAGATCCTTTCGTTTCATCCCTTTAATATAAAAAGGATGATTCCCTACGGCCATTTCATATACTATCATCCCCAAGGAGTAATAGTCAGCTGGGGCATAGTATGGGCTACGAATGAAAACCTCAGGAGCCATGTAAGTTGCTGTCCCCCCATAAGCCGTGATCCTATGTTCCTTTGTGACGCCCATTACCGACAAGCCAAAATCAGCAATTTTTGCATGGCCGGCATTGTCCAAAAGAATGTTTGCTGGTTTTAGATCTCTGTGGATGATCTTAAGAGAATGAAGGTGCTGCAGTCCACACAGAAGTTCGGCAGTAAGACGTGTTAAGGTTTCTGTATCAAATGGAGCTTTAATCATTATGAGTCTTTTCAGATCCCCTCCACTCAGGAACTCCATAACAAAGACACAATGAGTCTGTGTTTGAAAGGAGCAGTGTAGTTGAGTAATAAATGAGCTGTTCCTGCACGCTTCCATTACTTTGCGCTCGCTAAGAGCGCAGAGGGGATCAATTTTAAGTATTTTTCTTTTACTAACTATTTTGACTGCCAGCTTTTGCCCAGTGGTGGGGTGGGAGGCCAACACCACTTTTCCAAAGGTCCCCTGTCCTAGTAATCTATGGTAGGTGAAACTTCTCATGGTAAGTTTGTGTGCCTGGTCATCATAGTCTGATGCCTTGCCCTCATAGGTGACTGGAGGCACGGGAGGTTTGTTTTCCCCAGCGGATGAATCCAGTGGAGCGTCCTCGCCCTCACTGATGGCTGGAACCATGGAAGATTTGTTTTCCCCAGTGAATGAAGCCAGTAGTAGAGCGTCCTCGCCCTCACTGATGGCTAGAACAATGGAAGATTTGTTTTCCTCTGTGGATGAAGCCAGTGGAGCAATCTCGCCCTCACTGATGGCTAGATCCATGGAAGGTTTGTTTTCCTCGGTGGATGAAGCCAGTGGAGCAATCTCGCCCTCACTGATGGCTAGATCCATGGAAGATTTGTTTTCCTCTGTGGATGAAGCCAGTGGAGCAATCTCGCCCTCACTGATGGCTAGATCCATGGAAGGTTTGTTTTCCTCGGTGGATGAAGCCAGTGGAGCAATCTCGCCCTCACTGATAGCTATAACCATGGAAGGTTTGTTTTCCTTGGTAGATGAAGCCAGTGGAGCAATCTCACCATCACTGATGGTTAGAACCATGGAAGGTTTGTTTTCCTCGGTGGATGAAGTCAGTGGAGCGTCCTTGCCCTCACTAATAGCTGGAACCATGGAAGGTTTGTTTTCCTCGGTGGATGAAGCCAGTGCAGCGTTCTCACCCTCACTGATGGCTGGAGCCATAGAAGGTTCATTTTCCTCAGTGGATGAAGAGAGTAGTGCCTCCTCCCTCTCAGTGGTGACTGAAGGTATGGGCAGTTTCTTATCCTCTGAGAATGTATCTGCTGTTACTGGCTTACTCTCACTGTTGAATGAGATATCATATTTTCCTGGAGAGAGAAAAAAAAGAGATTACTTCTATGTACACATCACTTATGTTACAAGGAATCTGCAGGGATTTAAATGTATTTGTGTACCTCTGTAAGTGAATCTGTGTTATGACACTAATCTTATGTCACATGTTTCTCTTTTTGCCAGTTCTATGGTATATATACATGGACAATATGGTAGTTCTCCTCCCGGGAATCTATTCTCAGTGCATAGCTTTTAAAAAGTCCCCATGACACCTCTAACAGCTATTAAAATCCTGAGTAACCCTACTTAAAATGCTTGTAAACCTCAGACATGAAATGAAGAAAGTATATCCCTCTATAGTGTGAACTTGTCTCAATTAAGAGCTCTAAGTGTCATTTCTGTCTGCTGTCTCATTCCTCTACTATCAGCATGAATTGCTTCTGACAAGTTTTCCTGACACCAAGAGAAAAAAGGTAAAAGAGGAGGGGCTTTAAATAAATCTTTCCAATCATAATCGAAAAAGTGGAACATGCACCCCCCAAAAAATATAATTGAACAATCTAGGAGCAGGAGGATGAGTCCTGTGGGTGGGTATGGTCCATGCTTTATATGACAAAGCGGAATGAATAGTCTGCTCCTGCATCCCCCAGTCTGCCTGGTCATACAAATCCTAGAAACCAACTGTCTATATGAATGGTCCTAGTGACTTTGTAATGACATTGTGGGGGGGGGGGACACAGTGTAGGGTCTCATTCCTATTGATGGCTCCTGTATACACAGCCTGTCACTGGCTCACACTGACTTTGTATTTATCCATAGACTATGTATGCCTCCTGCACACCTGACCCCTGACCCTGCAGCCCAACTGTCACCTGAATTCAACTGACTGCAGGCTGACAAATGCTGCTGCTAATGACAAGTGCTGTTACTGGCAGGACCTCCAGGTATGAGACTTGGCAGCAGATTCATAACAACGTATCCCCCATCCGTATTCTCCATCAGAAGATTTCCCTTCTATTCCTGTTCTGGTGGCAGCCCACAATGTTGGCTTTTCCATCACTTTCTATCCCAGTGACATTGGTGGTCAGGACAAATATAGAGGATTAATCTTTGTAATGGGGGCATAAAAAAAACCTGACAGGGGGTCTTAACTCTCCCCTACATTCTACCCGGTGACCCCATTATGTGTATGTATAGTGACCCCAATATATATGTAATTGGTGATAAATGTTGTATACCCTTACAGTGCCCTGCATTATATCTCAATAGACTAATACTTACTTTCTGCGTCTTCTTCTCCTAATTTTCTCTGAGAAAAGGGGCAATATCTAGCCAGACACTGCCAAAATCTCTTCCCAGTTGCCCTAAATCTACCCCTTTTAGGGGCAGAATCTTGGGGCTGTGATGCTGTTCTGTGGTCCTCTGTTAAGGGTCCCACTCTCAGTAATGTAACAGGATCCTCCTTGTTGGTTTTCAGGAGGTCCTTCACATCGTATCCTCTCTTTCTCATAATTAGCCGCGTCATGATCACAAATGACAAAGCTTCTCAGAGAAAGAAAAAACGCTTCCACTCCTGGTAGCGTAGACAAAAGGAATGACTGCAGGCTGGGGGCGGAGCCAAGTGGCGATGACATCAGAGTGCTGGTAGCTATGGAAACAAGGTCACATGACTGTAGCTTGGAAGGTACATGACCATATATGGAAAAAGCATTGGGCTTCCTATGTGGTGTTTGTATATCACATTTTTGGGGTAATTCTTTTTCAATGTGGGACATCTTTGCTCAGCTTACATCTGTATTATTCATGTTTTATGTATCCAGCACCCAATGAAATCATGTTATTCCTGTCTATGGATGGGATTCACAAAGCTACAACACCAGGACAAGGTTCTATTGTTAGCCCTGTACCTGCCATGTTCTGATCTTCTGGCTCCCAACTGAAATTAATGGTCATGTGATCTTAGCCTGGGGGGGAGGGGGGGGGAGAAGACATTTTGGCCATATAGTGTGTAGTCCGTTGAGTGCCAGGCTGTAATATTCCTTCATTATCAGGACATTGGTCAGATTTCAGCACTGAGATAGAATGACTGACAATCCATTATGTTACACTATATGCTAATGGATCTTATAATATCATTTTTTTATATATATAAATGGGACTTTCCCTAATGTACAAATATGTACTTTCAATGGGTGAATTGCTATAAATACGCCCCCTTTATTAGGTACACCTTTGAGAAATAGATTCATAGTTAATATAATGACGTTTTTGATTATTTTATTAAATATTTAAATAAAATTTTCTATTCAGTGACCATTTATGGATTTGTGATTTAGGTGTGTGTGTCTGTATATTTATATCTCATATTCTGTTGTATCGCTGTTCACCGGAGAGGGACTTTTAGTTGATGTAATATGTTGATCCTTGGTGTGGTGGCGGCATTTAATAGTTTTTTTTCAGCCTCTACATTATTGTTCTTGGGTTTAATTATCCCTTAGGCTGCATTCACATTGAGTGACACGACGCATAGCGTTTTGTGTTGCACGTTTCAGTGTATTTTTGATGTGACAGCCCATTGACTTGAATGGGCTTCCTGTTCGCATGGCAAACTCACCAAAGAAGCTCAAGTACCATGTTTTGGTGCTGAGCCAAGCACGTTTGGTGGAAAACATTTTTGCACTTTTTTTGTGCAAAAACTGTGTTACTGCCGTCTGCACTTAGGGTGCCATTAAAGGGTAAGTTCACCTTTCTGAACATGTTACGTTACACTCATATTTAGGGTGTAACATGTTCGGTCTCAGGCCGCTCTCTCCCGCGATGCCCCTCCTCCTTGTGGCAGCGAGCCGTGGATCTTCTCCCGTACTGGATGCCACAATTCAAAGATATCAGGGCCATGCGTGTCTCCGCCTGCACAGCCGTGTCATTGATTCACAGATCCATGCGACTCAATGAACTACAAGTACTAACATCCTTTACGGCTGTCGGTTTGAATTTCTCAATGAACAATCACGGTGCTGCTGAGCGCTGTGGTAGTTCTTTCATTCCTCCTGTTAGTGTAAAATAATTTGCTTGTATGAGGTATGAGCAGACTAATTACACTGACAGTCTACAGGAGACTTGCATGGCTCCAGTGATCTACTGATTTCTGGGGCAATGTTTTCCAGGCTCCTAAAACAAAAAATAGTAAATGCACATTTATTACTGGAAAACAAAATGTGAAATGATTATTTTTTGTAAAAGGGGAACTTATCCTTTAAGAACAAATGGCACTGCTAACACGACACGCATTTTAGTGCATTTTTGCAGCTTTTCAAAAATGGAGACATATATGCGCATTTCTGCCTGCATTTTCACATTGTTCAGGTGTTAATGTAGTAGTAAATTGGTTGTAAAGACTAAACATTTTTCGCCTTAATGCATTCTTTGCATTAATGTGAAAAACCTTCTGCATGCAAACCCCCCCCCCCCCCCCCCCCATATAGTACTTGTACTATAAAGCCCTCCTGTAGACCTGTGAAAAGGTAGTAGATCAATATATGCTGTAAGAGTGCTGAACCCCGGGGTGCTGAGTAAACTGTGGATACGATAGTGCCCTTCTTACAGGCTGCTCTCCATCAGTGGAGGTAAGACAAATGATCCCCCAAAGTTACCCCAACAATTTGAACAGTCCAGTGATATTTATTCAACATAAAAAGATCCAACGCACTTTAGGGGCTCAACAATTCCCGTCCATCAAGGCTAGGACATGTAACAATAAGTATTATATTAACCACTTGACCTTCCTGAAGATTTACCCCCCCTTCTTGAGCATACCGCGCTGCGTCAATTCAACTGACAATTGCGCAGTCATGCAGTGCTAAACATAAATGAAATGTATGTTACTTTTTTCCCCACAAATGGAGCTTTCTTTTGGTGGCATGGGA